TCCCCCACTCCAGCTCTCTTGAGGCCCCTTAAAAGAGGGGGGCAGCGCCACACATATTAATAACTTGGACAGAGCTTTATTTTCATTTGAAAAATGTTGATGCAATTCGGGAAAGAACCCATTTATCTAGGAAGACAAGCAGGTTGAATCAACTAAGAACAGGACCCACGGCTGGAAAACTTCCCACCGTGAAAGGAAGCCAAGCMGCGGGGTTACGAATGTTGGCATGACTAGCACCAACCTGTCCGGCAGACAAGGGGCTGGGGGTCACCAGACCTCACCTCCTCCAGCCTTCAGCCGACCCTCCCAGGACACACATTTCTGGTTGCCTGCTTTCACCGTCCTCTCTCACCACCTTCCCAGGTCACTGGACAAAGTTAGGAAGTGACCAACAGGCTCCCAGGCTGCTCAGGAAGTTTCTGAGGCTCTGAACTTTTGCTGATAGGTGTTCCTGTGAAGGGCTCAGCTCCTTAAGAGCCCCCAAGCAGTAGAGGCCCCTGGGTGAGGTCAGCTGGGCATCCCCAGATCCACTCAGCCTTGAATGGAGCCACGTGAGCTGGCCAATGCCAAATTCCATTGAATCAACAGTGTGGTGATGAAGCCCCAGATACTTGGGCAAGGACTGGCCTATGTGGTCACATACTCGGCATGAGAAAAATGACAGCTCCTGATGAAAGCAGATAAACGTGCCCAGGCTTTGGGGGCACATTCTGCAGCCTACCACCTGGTGGGGGCTCTGGATCACACTGTGGTCAGGGTTCAAATTGGATAATCTTCCCAAGTGACCATGGGCTGGCCAGGGAAGGTGGCCACTAACTCACCTCAGACACCAGGAACCCAGAGGGTACCCCTAACCCTCAGCCAGAACCTTGTAGCAAGAGGGTAGATGGGTGACACCCACCTGGATATGTGCCTGACACACACATACACACGCTCTGGGGGCCTAAACTAGATGAAGACGCATCCCAAAGCTGCTGCCCAYGTGTATGTGTACCTCTCTGAGTTGAAGGGGGCTGGGGCTAGGGCTCAGTGGCAGAGTGCTTGCCTCGCACATGTGAGGCACTGGGTTCAATCCTCAGCACCACATAAAAATAAAAATAAAGATATTATGTCCATGTATAACAAAAAAAAATTTAAAAAGAGAGAGAGACGAAGGGTCAGAACTGTGCTGTCAACTAGCCACAGGGGGAAGGACTGCAGAGGGAAGCCAAGGGGGCATCAGGAAGAGATGAGGAGACAGAGCCCAGGGAGATGCAGGGCTTCGGGCTACTGAACTGGCCTTGGGTGCTGTACTTGGCCTCACCCCAACAAGAATGGACCCTAGGAAGGAGTCAGGCCGCAAACAACCCTCTGCCTGCTCCAAGACCCAGCTACGTGCACAGCACAGAGAGGCTTCTTCTGGTTTCATTTGTGAGTTGGAAACAATGTGGTGTGGCAAGAAGTGTTGCCACATTCACATGGAAGGGTTCCTCTGATAGGACTCAGGCGAGGACAGGAAGTCCACAGCAGCCAAGGCCACACAGATACCTCTTCCCCAAGAAATGCCTTGGTGTCCAAATGCCCTCCACAGGAAGGGCAGGAGCAATGGAAAGCTGGGTATCATGATTTCCAGTCTCCACTGAACTAGTCTTCCTGGGATTCTTGCTGTTGCTTGTCACCAGCAGGCACCCTCCATCTCTCGGGTCCTGTCCCCCTGGCTGCTCTCCAGGCACAGCCTCCACTTGCAGTTCTGTGGATGAGCTACCTCAGCGTCGGTCACATCTCAGGGGCTTTGCATTGTTGTTCCCTCTGCTTGTTCCTCTTTTATCGATATCAAGATGGCACCTTCTCAGTGAAGACTTCCCTGTCCACCTTATTTAAAAACACAACTTCCTGATTACTACATTTAAAACCCAGCACTCCCAGGGTTGGGGGTGTAGCTCAGGGGTAGAGCACTCGCCTGGAAGGTGCAAGGCTCTGGGTTCAATCCCGGCACTGCAAAAAAAGACCAAAAAAACAAAAAGAAAGAAAACAAAACAGACTCCCTCATGGCAGGAATTCTCACCTACTCCGTTCACTAATATATCCCCAACACAGAATCTGGCACAAATTAGACACCCAAATATTTGTTGAAGGAAGAATTCAGCATTTGCCCTTGTGCTGGGCACTGGGCAAACACACAGGGAAGGGCATGGTGCCCTACAATGCCATCTGATAGAGGAGACCGTCTGTCCTACCATCCCAGAGAGAAGATCACGACATCAGTATGACACCAGGTGGACTGGCCAAGTCAACATGCCTGTCTCATCGTGCCCGGCTGGCAGACAGGACCACCTGTTCATCCAGCCGTCGGACCTGAGCACTCTTCCTCATATCAAGGCCAATGGCTTGATGCCACCCAGTCACTCTGTCAAGAGCCAGCAGAGCTGACCCAAGGAAAACAGAGCCCCTGGGCCTGCCTGCCTGGCAAAGCCAGGACACTGTGTCTCACAGCTAACACCAGGTGAGCCAGATAAGGATGCTTCCCTTTCAAAACACCTGGGCTGTCCCTCCTCCATCCGTGCAATGCCTGCCTCCTAGAACAGCAGCGCCCACCTGCTGTCTCTTTGGGAGATTCCCCCACAACCTGGACCTCCTCCTCACCCCCGCCTGAAGTACACTGAAATGCAACTGTGAAGCCCCCCAAAGCAAGATCACTGTGTAAGAACTCTTGGAATAACAGGTCTCCTAGAGACAGTCAAGCCCCAAAAAGGATTTGAGCCAAGGTGGGGGGTGAGAATGAGGAAGGGTGAGTTGTGAGGGTCCCAAGCAAACAGCTAAAGAGAAAGGTCTGAAGCTAAGTGCAGTGGCACACACTTACAATCCCAGCAACTCTGGAGGCTGAGGCAGGAATGTCCCAAGTTCAAGGCCAGCCTCGGCAACTTAGAGAGACTTTGTCTCAAAATAAAGTAAAAAGGCTGTGGGTGTAGCTCAGTATGTAAAGCACCCCTAGGTTCAATCCCCAGTACTACCACAAAGAGAAAGAGAGAGAGCAAGTGTGTGTGTGTTTATTGGAGGAAGGTCCTATCAGGAGGGAAAAAGAGCTGGGAGACCATAAAGGTGCCAGAATACTTTAGGGAGGGACACAAATGGTCAAGAAAACTTCCCTAGTGCAGGCTGCCCCCTGGCAACTCCAAAGGAAATGGTTTGGAATACCCTGGTCCCTCTAATTTCTTCTGTTTTTTCTCCCCTCACTTGGCTAAAAGTCCTTTCCAAGGACAGATTCCAGGCAGATCTGTTAGGGCAAAGGCATGCCTCCCAGCCAGCTCACCTGGCCTGGCTAGTCAACCATCCCTCCCCTCAGGCCCAGTCTTATCTTTCCTGTTGGCCTTAATCATTTACCACAACCCCTTCACCTAAACCCAGGGTTCTCAGAATTCCAAACCCGTTCTCCACCAGGTATTTGCCCAAGCTATGCTCCTTGCGGGCTCATGTGCCCAAATTCCACATTCTTCACTGGCTTCCCTGGCTCCTGCAGGCCATGGGACCTCAAAATCAACTTGCCCCAAAGTCAGGAGAGTGGGCAGGGCCAGATTAGATTCAGGTATTCAAGGTCCCCTACAGTCTTTGAACACCTTGAGAGCAGGGAAGTATTCTATGAATAAAATTCCCTGGACACATAATCAACAGTTTGTTAATGCCAGCTAAGCAGGGTGAGATGTGAGATCTGGGCCAGTGCCACAATGCCAGCATCTGAGTGAGTTGGGACTGGGCAGTGAGACCCCAGGCAATGGTGAGTGTGGTGGGGAGATATCCTACTGCGGAGGTGGGTCCACACAGACGGCAACCACTTCCCAAGACTCCTTTTCCTTATTCTTGACAGTCACTGTAACCATCTTTCACCTGGGGACAGGTATAGGTCTGTCCCAGGGGATGAGCCTGCCCACTGCTTCCAGGACCCTGGAATATTACCAGCTGCTTTTGGCTCTGGAAGGAAGGGCAGAAGTTTGGTGGACCACCAGGAAGCAGCCTAGAGGTCTGCCATTCCAAGATCTACAGGCTGAGGGCAGACACAGGAACCTGGGCCCCTTACACTCCTTTGAGAGGGACGTCTATAAATAAGTCAGTGAAAACTGGCATGGCCCTCAGGGCCCAGGGATGTATCATTTCTAGCCCTCTTCCGGGAGAGCAGGGCCAAGGAGAAGCGGAAACGGGGAGGAGGCGACACTGGCAGGTTTGCCCTGATGACAAGGAATAAGGTCCAGGGCTGTGTCCACACCAGGTTCCCCACAGAAMAGAGACTGCACAGCCAGGACTTCCGAGAGACACTTGTCGCCGGCAGAGAAGCGGGTGTGTCAACAASTACCAAGGCGGACCGCTGGCACTTAGGTCCGGAGGATGGAGGACGAAGGGTTGGGGGAGCTTGCACACATCTACAGACATAGCAGCGTCATGCTGAGATGGCGAGGGCTTTCCCCAAACTCCGAAATGGTCTGGCTCTCTCGTCTGATCACGAAGAGTCCCCTTCTGGAAGGACAGGGGAAGCCAGGAAACAGACTCGGTGCAGTGGCCAAGAGCTACGGAAAAACTTCGCTGCGCACAGTCCCCCTGGGTACCGGCAGAGCCAAGGGCAGGGCGCTGGGGGCAACATAGTTCCGGCGGGGCAGGAGGTGGGTCTGGGCACTCAAGGCCCCTCCCCGGCCCAGTAGGTCCCCCTGAAACACTTTTTGAAACTGCACTGCAGACAGCACAGCCACTCTTCCCTTGCGCCGGGTGCTGGTCTCGTTCACGCTCACACCTGGACGCCGGCGCCGGGCACGTGAGAGGGCTCCGAGAGGGCAGCAGGGACAGCGGTTTCACTTCCGTGGCCGAGCCAGCCAGGGCAAGTAACCCGACCTCCCAGGCCAGCATCGAGAGGACCGACACCGCGGGGCGAGAGCGTTCGCAATTCTACTCTTGCCAACTTCTGACCCCAGGGCCCCGGGCCGGCCAGGTAGACCCTGCCGGAGCCCCAGGAGCCCAAGCCCGAGGCCACCGCTTACCTGACTCCCGGGAGCAGGCGGGGTGTGCATCCCCGTCCAGTTGCGGATCGGTCCTCTGCAGAGGGACAAGAAGCTCAGCGCGGGTCAGTAGGATGAGTAGGGACGCGGAGGGCAACCCGAGAGCTCAAGGAACAATCCCCAAGCCTTTGCGCCGCCGCTCGCACCGTTCGGCACCAGTTGAAGGCGCCGGCCCCGCCCCCGCCCGCGCCCGTTGCCGGGAGACCCGCGTGGGCCGAAGGGGCTCTTTGTATCAAAGCGGCCGTGACATCACGAGGTGCCCGGGCTCCGGGACTAGGAGGGGCGGGGCCTCACGCCAGGGGCGGGGCCGGAGGAGGAGGGGTAAGCGCGGCCTGGGAACCCGAGCCGTGGGGGCGGGGCCCAGGTAGCACCGCCCACGCAAGGTAGGGGCAGGTGGCTGAGTCGGCATCGACCAATAGCTGCGTGGCCGCGGGGCGGGCCCAGGCGACCCTGCGCCTTGGAGGGGTGGAGCTCGCCTAGGCCCGCCCGAGCCCGAGACGCAAAGTTACTGAGGCCCGAGGTCTACTAGATCACGCTCCAGCCGGTTCCATGCCACTCTTATTGTTTGTGGTCACCGCTCTGCAAGATTCCGGCCAGCAACCCCTGGCTTATGTTCCTGGATCCCAACTAACACCTGCCAAGCCTCTCCCACACATCACCACCGTCTTCACCACCAGCCGGTCTGATGGCTCATAAATAGATTTTTTCCTGAATCCCACGCACAACTTTTCTAATCTTTCTTGTGAAGCGAAAGCTATCGTATAGTACAAAAGAAACAAGTGGCAAAAAGACTCAACAAAAAGAGGACTCCTGTGGAATCCTAGTAAATATAATTTGCATCGGAAATGTGGCCCTTCATAACTCTTCGTGCTCCAGATTAAAATAAGGCGAAAATGATGTGACGAATGCAAAGCAGCAAATACTGCAAATGCGGTTCCCTTTGACTTCACGTTGCATTATGTAACTTGTGGGAGCAGATTATCTTCCTGACTGGCTGGCTGCAAGCCACCTTTGCCTTCCCTGTGTGCTCACTGCCCAATAAGGTGGCATGGGCACTTTGGTATGGGCAGGACCAGTTGGGCGGCTTTGGGCCAGCGCGGCACCCACGCGCATCTTTTCTGCTTCCTTCTTTCTGGCTCTTTGGTCTCAACTACCCTCTCCCCAGTGTCTCTCCTGCAAATAAATTCCCAGCTGCCCCTCCATTTCTATTTTCTTTTCATTTGCCCCTCTATCTACCAGGGCAGAGTAGCCCACTAGGGCTCCCGGAGGTGCTGGGGACTTTCCAAAAGGTACAGCCTTAGCTAGAGGGGAGCCTCCTAGCAAGGGCCGCTTGAGACAGAATACTGGATGGGGCTGTGGGGGTGAGGTGGAAACTCTATCACCCTTGCCCTTCTCTGAACTTGTAGTTCTTGAACTGACCTCTGGATCTGTGTGCAGAGGCCACAGTGAGTTTCTCACCCTGGTTTGTGTCCACCCCCACAGTCCCTAATGCACAGGAGCATTGGTGTATTATAAAGAACCCTGACTTTGGAGTAGGACGGACCTGGGTTTGAATCCTATTTTCCAGCTTTGGGTCCCAGGACAAGTTACATTGCCTTTCTGAGACTGAGTGTGTTTATCTGTGGATGGGAATGGCACATTCCACCTTGCAGGATGCTGTGCACCCTAGCCCAGTGAGCACGCTTAACTTTAGGCCTCACCAACTGTGTGGTACTTGAATGAGCGCAGGCATCCTGGGTCAGCTGTCTTCCCAGTTCCACCTGGAGATCTAAGCTCAGTAGCCTCCCATGAGATTTTAGGATGTGGCTGAGTCCAGGAAATCTATCATGATATCCTTGCTTCCCTTCCAAGTCCCAGGTTGCCCCTAGGAACCATTAGGCTCCAGAAAGCAGGTCACTTGCAGAATCACCCAGAACTGATGAAGAGAAGCAGACCCTTAAGGTGATCAAAGCTTCTGTGTGTCCTGACTCTTTTTCGGTCAAGGCCAGTAGATAAACTCAGATCTGTCCAGTCTCAGCCCTTCTGGGGTAGCCTAACCAACCAGCATTTTCAAGAGCTCTATAGACTGGATGGTGCCAGTGGGTTCCTCTTTATTTTTTCCACAGGTAATGGGGTGGGTATTTATTTGTCCTGAAAAGCAGAGTAACAGAGAGAAAGGCTCAGATGCACCGAACTCTCCTGGGTTCAAAGCCTCCCTAGATCTACTACACAGGAAAGTCATTTTAATGTTTGGAGGCCTCAGTTCCACCTCTGTAAAATGGAAAGGAGTGGTTTTCTCTCTCAGTTGTGAACTTTAAGTGAGATGACGTGAGTTCAGTACATGGTGTGCTGTAGGCACTCGATGAATTAACTCCTAGTTACTCCAGCCGCATTATCAAGCCGTGGGATCAATGGTTGTATGTGTGGGCACCGGAGCCAAGGCTGTGTCCTGGCTTCTCACCTTGGAGCCAAATGACCCCAGGCAAGTTTAATTGCCAGTATCTTTGTTTCCTTGTCTGTAAACTGGAGATAATGGTACTATATTTTTTAGGATTATTGTGAAGATCATTTAATCAGGACAACAAACTACTTAGAGCCTATCACAGAGCAGGTACTCAATAAATAGTTATTATCTGTATGGCAAGAGGCTGGGAGGAACAGAGGTGAGGATCAGAACCTGAAGCAGCTTGTGGGAGGATTTAGGACCCTGACTTTCAGGAGAGGGCCTGACATCTACCAGGAGTGTTCGGGGAAGCAGTGGTCCTTGGGGGGATGGGACAAGTAGGGATGGTGACTGTGTCTGAGGTGTAGGATTGGACAGAATGGGGGATGCCAGCCCAGGCTAGGTCTCAGTGTTTCTGGTTTGAATGGGGGGATAACAGTGAGCTAACAGGAAATATAGTCATACCTCCTGAGCACCCCTCCCCACTGAGAAAGAGGGGCAATGGGGGACTTGAATTAGCTCCCTTGGTCTCTTAGTACACTGTGTTTTACATGTCATGGAATCAAGCCAGTTTAAACTAGCAAGACTGTCTGGAGAAGCATCTTATATATTTGTCCCCATTTTATGGATGGGAAGGCAGAAGCTCAGAGAGAGCTGGGGATTTACAAAAAGTCACACAGCAAGATGCCAACTGATCAGGTGCTGATAGTCACTGATCGCCAGTGTAGCATCTTTTCCTTCCTACTCTCTTTGGGATGCTTGACTAACAGGGGTAAGACAGGGACAAGGAAGGCATGAAGTTGACTTTTTCATCTCGCTTGCCCAGCACTGTGAGTCTCCTAAGGGACTGACATGACTTTTCTGGAGAAAAAAGAATCTCGTAGAAAACAGAAAACGTTAATCCCAGTGGTTCAGAAGGCTGAGGCAGGAGGATCCCAAGTTCAAAGCCAGCCTCAGCAACAGCAAGGTGCTAAGTAACTCAGTGAGACCCTGACTCTAAATAAAATACAAAATAGGGCTGGAGATGTGGCTTAGTGGCTGAGTGCTCCTGAGTTCACCCCCCTGTTCAATACCTTACCAAGTGCAGTAGCACACACCTGTAATCCCAGAGACTCGACAAGCTGAGGCAGGAGGATCACAAATTCAACTCCAGCCTGAGCAATTAAACATGACCCTGTTTCAAAAAATGAAACAAGGGCTGAGCATGGTGGCACACACCTGTAATCCCAGTGGCTTGGGAGGCTGAAGCAGGAGGATTGCAAGTTCAAAGCCAGCCTCTGCAAATTTGTGAGACCCTAAGCAAATTAGCAAGACCCTGTCTCAAAAAAAGGGGGGGGGCTGGGAATGTGACTCAGTGGTTAAGTGCCCCTGATTTCAATCTCCAGTACAAAAAAAGGGGGCAGGGATTGAGGGGAGCCTGGTGATGTAGGTCAGTGGTAGAGTGCTTGCCTGGCATGCACGAGGCCCTGGGTTTGATCCCCAATACTGACCAAAAATAGATACATAAAAAGACTGAGGTTGTAGCTCAGTGGTAACGCACCCTTGGATGGTTCAATTCCCAGACCCTGCCCTGTGCAAAAAAAAAAACCTCCACCAGAGAATGTATCCTAGAATACTTTTCATATGACAAGTCACTGATTAATTCTTCTGATGTCATGAAACTGGTTCTCCTGTTGTTGGTATGAGAGTTCTACACTCCCATGACGCTGGACAGAAGCAGATAGAATGCCGACAGGCAGGTGTCACATCCTTCAGGTGCTGGTGGGTAGAAAACCACAATCATCCGGGTGACCTGGTGAGGGAAGAGAACAGCAAGTTCCCTCCGTATCACCCTGCTCCCTACCCATGTCCACCTAACTCCTGCTGCCCCCAGAGTCAATGTTTTGTATGTATCCTGGGCAAGATGGAAGTACTGGCTATGCAACTAGGGTATCGTGACAGTCGCCCTGGGAGAGGAGCTCTTTTGAGAATCACCTAACGTCATGTCCACACTAACCAAGCAGCTGGTGCCGACCAGCGTTAGCCAAGTGAACACAGAACAGCTGATACAAACTATAGAGCTAATAACAGCAGCAGCGGGGCCCAGTGGTCCCCAAACTGGACTCCTTGGAACCCCCAGGGTTCTGTGGAAATCTTGCTAAAGGGAAAGTGTGCTCTAGACAAACAATAAAGATAACTCCACTTCTGTCTACTTGACATGGAGTCGACCACATGGGATTTCACGTGAACAGAAAGTTCTATAGCTTTAGAAATGTTTTCAATCACTGGGTCTCACAAAACCAATCATTTCCCAGACAGGGAAATCAGCTCCACGTGTGGTGATGGCCTCTCTCCTCACAGCTGCCCAGTCGGTCAGTGGTGGAGCCAGGATCAGAGCCAGGTCTCCCTACTCCGTCTCGTGCTCTCCATGACAGACATCAGTCGTCAAGCCTGGCCAACGTCAGCAGGGCTCCGTTCTCCAACACACACCCCCTGGCCATCATTCCCACCCAGCACTGCGTTGCCAGCCACTCCTCTGTGTGGGAAAGCCCGCTGGGACCTCTCCACCAGCCCTGTCCTTTCTCACCTCCTTCTTTAGATATCCCTAGATGCCACACTCAGAAAGTGTCAGCTGCAACTGAAACCTCAGCTTTCAATCCCAGAACAAAGTCAGCATTGGATGCCTGATGCAGTAGCTCAGGAAAGGGGCAAGCTCACCAAGCAAGCAGCCAGGACCGCAGATGGTGGAGGCTTCCTGACCCCTGGGGAAAGACACTCCATTTTGGGGGGATGAGGGTTCTGGGGATGGAACTCAGGGGCACTCGACCACTGAGCCACATCCCCAGCCCTATTGTTTTGTATTTTATTTAGAGACAGGGTCTCACTGAGTTGCTTAGCGCCTCACTTTTTGCTGAGGCTGGCTTTGAACTTGTGATCCTCCTGTTTCAACTTCCCCAGCTGCTGGGATTACAGATCTGCACCACCTCGTGCAGCAAAAAGACACTCCTGATGGCCCACTTAGAGAGAGAACTCAGCAGCACTCTGGATGCCGCGCCTTCCTCTGGAGCAGCACCTGCACTGGGCCAGCAGTTCCCTAGGGAGAGGAGAGCCTGGATGGCTGGTCTGTGCTCTTCCCACCCTGTAAAGATGCTGGGGCTGGGTTCTGGCTCTCCTAGCTTGCTGGGCAGCAGGCTCCTCAGCTGGAGAGCTGGGGGCTGGACAGCACATGATCAGTCTCCTCACCTCCACAGCTCTGTTCCAGCCCAGGTCTTGCACCAGATGACTCTGATGGGGATGCCTGCAGCAGTCTGGCCGGGGGACAGTTTCCCTCATAATGCCTGGCTGGACGGTGCAGGTGGGGCAGGGCATGCACTTATTGACTCTGGGTCCCAGGCTGGGTCTTTAGAGGTGCCCTGCTCTGGTACACACAGGAACAATGGATTTTCTTACTCATTCAAACCCACTGAGAGGGGGGAAATGGTGAGAAAACCCGTGTTTCCTTCTCGACAAACATCTCCTCTGACTCATTCAGTCATCAGAAGAGGAGGTGGTGGCAGGGTTGGGGAGTGAAGGTCTCCTTTTGACTTGCGCTGGGTGAGGGCAAGAAGGGAACACTTCCTTTTCCTCTGTATGTTGGTTAACTGTGCATCCGTGACAGCACAGACAGCTCTCCTCTCTCCAGACGCCTCCCCGCCAC